ATATATATATATATATATATACAGGACATACATATGAACATATTTTGTCAAGAAAACTCGTAACTTCCCTCAATTGTGTCTTACCTTCATAATTACCAAGTTATATTTCATAGCTTTCTCCATCGATTATGGCTTGTACAGCACACTGTACAGTAGATAGTACTTATGATAAATATTGAAAAAAACTAAGCTGTATTAAAAAAATAATACATATGTGGTAAACTTGTTGTAAAGAAACAAAAGGCAAAACATTACACAATTCATCAAAAAAGTGTATTACACATATTTTAGAATAAAACATGGGGACCAAGACAAATCATGGGCTCTGCACAAAGTTTGCACTGTTCATGTCAAAGAGTTGATACAATGGACTAAAGGTAAAAAAAGTCTTTGCCATTTGAAATTCCAATGGTTTGGCATGAGTCTAGAAACCATGGAGATAACTGCTATTTTTGCTCATGTAACGTGCATGGCTACAACACTCGAAATAATAAGGATAATTCTTATCCGAACCTTCAACCTGCTATAAGATCTATTGCTCATGGATCTGATGTACCTGTACCTACTCCACCGAAGACTCTTGATACAGTTTCATCTGATTCTGTATCTGATGTCAATAAAAATGATGATAGGGATGTTTTCAACCTAAAACGTCTGGTGAACCACAACTTTTCACACAAACTCACTAAATAAACACCTATGGTGGCAACCAGATTAATACATTATCTCTTAATGATTTGGTGAAAGATTTGGGCCTTCCAAAGGATTCTTCAGATATTTTGGGGGTCCAGACTTCAGGCTAAGAACTTACTTTTTCCAGGGACATCATTTTACTGGTACATAAATCGAGAGAAAGAGTTTATAACATACTTTTTGCAAGAAAGTTCACTGGTTTATTGCAACAATATTGCTGAATTAATACCAATGCTAGGAGCTGCAGTCTGTGAACCAAGTGAGTGACGATTGTTCATTGATTTTTTCCAAAGAAGTTTAAAAATTCACGATGGTAACAGATATGCATCTGTTCCTATTGCTCATTCGGTTCACTTGAAGGAAACGTATGAAAATCTTGAACTTCTTCCAAATGAGGTCAAATACAAAGAATCTGATTGGCTACTTTGTGGATACTTAAGACCTTTGTATATTGTTGAGTCAACAATCTGGTCATACAAAGTTTCCATGTTTTTTGTGTGAATGGGGCAGTAGAGCATGAAATCAGCACTGGATAAAGATGCAATGGCCACGCAGTGTCAGCCTGATACCAGGATCGAAAAACATTGAACATGAAAATTTGGTTGACACAAAGAAAGTCCTATTACTTCATATAAAACTGGGCTTGATGAAGCAGTTTGTAAAGGCCTTAGACAAAGATGGCAACTGTTTCATGTATCTATGTGGGCATTTCCCAGCTCTTGCAGAACTGCGAAACTTAAAGAAGGGATTTTTGTTGGGCCTCAGATTAGGAAATTGACTTCGGACTAACAGATCGAAAAGACAATGAGGAAAGTTGAAAAAAGAAGCATGGATTGATAAATTTTTTGGAAACAACAAGGACCCAAATTACGAAAATATTTTCAATAACATGCTTGATAAATTCAAAGAGTTGGGTTGTAATATGACCTTGAAAGTTAATGTCTCACACTCGCATATTGACTATTTTCCTGAAAGTCTCGGTGCCATCAGGGAAGAACAAGGGGAAGGTTTCATCAAGACATCAGGGAAATGGAGAGGAGGTATCAGGGAAGGTGGAATATCATTATGATGGCTGATTAGTGCTGCTCATTGAAATGAGATGCAGTACATAAAAGAAAGACCACAACACGTAGTTTTGAGACTAAAAGATGTAGATTTCACAAAAAAATCAAGATGAATGAGAATGCATATTCGTTTGACATCAATGTTCTTTCCTTTTCTTCAGTTTGTTTGTATTTTCTGTTAACAAACATAATATTCAAAAATGTTCATTGTGGTAAACAAAATTGTAATTTGATCTAAGTAAGAGTGTCTAATTGTTTCTGATTTATAAAAAAACCTTATGTGATAGAAACAAAGGAATATTATTTTTGAAATTTGCGTAGCTGAATTATGGAAAGTCTGTTATTAAAACCAAAACAAATCATGAAGTTTAAATTTGTAGGCCTGTGTTATCACTGTTGTAGGTGGTATAATGTTACCTAAATTCAAAATGATGCTATCATGGCAAAATATGAGACACAATAAAAATATTTTCTAGAGCTCTTGGACATTTTATTTCTTGATTCCCAGCTGGTAATCTTTTTTTGAGTAATTCTATGTTTTTCCGTGTGGGGTTGAGCAAAATCACTTGTTTTATGTGTGTAAAATACATAGTGATCC